CAGATAGCTCAATAAGAACAGCTATCACTAACGCAATACATGTCACGCAATAAGTGCTGCCAGCTGTTGCTGCGCCCCCAGAAATGATCATAATATATAAGGTTTTACGTCCCAAAACCACCCCATGATTATCAGAGAGTTGTACTGAAGGACTCTGGAAATTTTGACCATCTGGCGTTCTTTATCTGGCTGACATCGGCTGATCGCAGAGTACATTGACCCCTACCTATAAACCTTCATTGAAATGCGACCGCTACGGCCGGAATCGAACTCGTGACCTTCGGATCAGCAGCTGAGCACGTTAACCCCTACACTACCGCAGTGGACGCCTTAAAAATGAAACGTTTTGCTATTAAAATACACTGGTCATTTGAAGAATGTGTCAATTAGTCCAACCCGGAATAATCGATGGTTAGAATTTGGAACAATAACGATTTTATTTGCATATTTGCTCGGAAAGCCCCCTAAGAAAGCACACAGGTTTTTGTGCACTGTGTGAGGTCTGTGAATCAAAATGTGAAGTTGAAACGAGAATTTACAGCTGTAGATGCTCTTCACTTGTACGCCTTTCGTACTTACTCATTAATTTTGGTTACGGGGCCAAATCATGTAGCCCTTCACGCAACGCAACCCTTCAGCATGTAAATACCAACAAAATTCATTTGAAGTGAATTGAATTTGCCTCTCCTAAATATGGGTTCCTAATGGACAGATAATCTAGTGGACACATGAAACATGTTACCATGCAGTGAGGAAGAAAAAGGACAATTGAATATTGGTACATTCCTGAAAAAAAAAAGAACAGCATGACTACAATGAAGAAACACACAAAAGACGCATAACTGTGCTCTTTCTCTGTCTTTTTTTTTTCTGTGTACTCTGCGTCATCTCGGTGCTTGTTTTTCAAGTATCCACGTTCAAGTCACCGTGACTGTCCCTTGTTGAAGGCATAGAGTTTACCAAAATTAATAAATAATAAATATATAGATGAATAAATAAATAAGTTAATTAAATTAACAAGAGGGCACTCTGGCGCTGCGATCGTTCAGCGACCAGGGGAATGATGAGTAGTACGCACATTTGCCTAGTCTTTGTACTTACGGCTTTGTTTATTGCTGGTTACGGTTTTGTTTTGATAGAAAGAATAAACCCGTTGGAACTTAGTGACTTGATTCGACATGGTAAGCCTAAAAGGATAAGGTTGTGAAGCGCAAACGGTGAACATTCGCTAATTTTTGTTTTCATGAAATACCAGCTCCAAGCTACACGAACACGCACGGAGCCAGAAGCAGGACAGAAGTACGAAAATTAGACAAGTGTGTGTACTACCCATCATTCCCCTGCTCGCTGAAGTGCCATGTGTTGCAGCTCCCATAGACACTAGCGCCAGAGTTCCCTCTAGTGTATAATAAGAAACTATATGGTTGAATGTTTATTCGAAAATTCAAAATGGGCAGAGGCTTCTGCACTGTGAGATAAGAGACTTCCACAGGCCACGTGCGCGTTCTTAGGACAACTCAAAACACTATTTCAGGAGTAGAGCAGCAGACAACGTTTGCGGAAATTCTAGTGATTTACCAACTACCACATATTCTCCTGCTATTTTGTGCGAACAAACTGTTTTGTATACCCATAAAGACAATGGGATGTACAAAATGTGCAGTGAATGCCAGAAAGAAATGCTCACTGCAGTAGGCTTCAGTGACTACGGCGCATCTCGTTAGACAACGACATTTCGAGCTTCTCTGTCCCTTTAATTTACATGTTTCCTAGTGTAGATAAGATAGTGAAGGTAGCTCTTTATAAATACATCATAATGACAAGGGTCTGAGTAAAGATGTGAATAAGAAAACAACTTACCCCTTTTTTATGAAGGTGGACCACACCTTCATATATGCGAGGCTCATTTCTTTCATGCGTTCGGGGTAGGCTGGGTCTGAGGATATTAGTGGCACGCCAAACAGCATGTCCAAGTCGGGAAAAGGGATCTCCACCACATCACTTGGAAATAAATTCTGGAGAATAAGCAACAACAGTAGACAAATATAGCGATTGTGACGAAAATTTTCCTTTAGGCTAGCACAATAATCATTCAGCTTTTTCATAATGTTCGGACAATAGTTGAGAATGTTGTATGTTTAAAGGCTTTTTATCGAGGTTTGTATCATTGTATACGTCCTCTAACTCTCTTTGTCTTTGCTCCTCACTAAGCAACTCCAACCACCAGTCTTGACCGACATCACTGAATTACTGCTCACACGTCGTTATTGAAATGTGGATGACAACGCGTGTAAATATCTAGGATTGTCATTTTGCATTATTTCGCGACAATGATGTGCTATTATTTGGGTACCAAGCTCAAGTTGAAAGCACTAAACACAATCTGTAATTTAGCTGTACGAAGTCCCCTAGGATAAGGGCACTCTCACGGGGAACTTAAAATGAGAGAAAACAGAATTTCTTGTGTTTGGGACTTTTGCTGATAAAACAGATTCCGTGTCTGCGACGGTAGCGGATACAAACTGAATAGGTGTGTCATTTAGGCCTTACTTCGGTGACCTGCGGCAAGCGGGCCGCATGCGGCCATCGGGACAGTAATATGCGACGCCTGGCACAACATAAAATCCCTCACCTCTCCCCTTTGCCAATTCCTTGTTCAAAGTTGACCAGGCGTCAGGTGGGGTTTTTGCTTGCAACCTATTGTTGCGAGTAATAACAACCTTTCGGCATGCCCCAAGAAAATAAACATGGTTTTCATTAGAGTTCTTTACATCCCACCACTATTTGCCGTGCGCCCCCACCACATGTAAGCTTCGTGCAATTCGGCTGTGCGCCCCAAAAGGCTGCCGACGCCTGCTACAGGGCAGCACTGAAAACAGATGCCACGCTGATAAGTAGGCCGAAATGAAACGAAACAACAATATATGTTGCATGTTCATATATTCCGTGATTTTCTAAAAAAGAGTTGTTCCACAGATCCAAATAAATGCGGGCAGCCTATATTATTGCTGCAATGCGAGACGAACAGCGGAGCTTGTGACTGACCAAGCTTTAGTTCATTTCAATAAGCCCGTTTTGGGGTTAGGGTATTCGTTGCTGAGTGATGGCTGAGTGAAGTGATGGCTGAGTGAAGTATAAACTATATTGCTTGGGGAACAGTAATCACGGCAACATGAAGTAAACGGTTAGATATAAGATGCCTAATTAATTATGGATGAATCAAAATGTATTATATAGCTGAGATTTAACGATCACGTGGGGAAATGGGAAAATTTGAATTAGTAAGAAAATGCTAGGCAGGCTCATAAAGACGATACCGATCAATTATTATTCGTTAGTCCTTAATTAGAAGGGTTCCATAAAGATCAATAAGAGAAGACATATCTATATGCCTCTTGCAACTCATCAGGACTCAAGGTACCATTTGTTGATAGACAACGTATGAGATCATTTTCCTGCAAGAAGATTGACTTGGGCTATCAGAAACGTTCCGTAAATCAGAAGCAACAATTATAGTCTGGGAGATCCAGAGCTGCCACCGAAATTCTGGAGCGAGCACTCATATTGCACCAAGCGAAATCTGCCAGTGAAAGACGTAGATGCCCTGCAGGAGGTCGTTCAGGAAGCTGTTTACAAATACGCCACTAAGGGCGCGTTCTAACTTGGCCTCGAAGAGAGCGAAACTGGCGAAAAATTCCGGAAACTGGCTCGTTTAGCCGCCCAAGTGGCTGGAAAACCACGCCGCTCGGCCGGCGCACTAGAATCGCTCCATGACCGATTCTCCCGTCACATGACACCGGACCCGATTTCCGCTTCACAGCCTTGGCTGCGCTATATCAAATCATGTGAACAAACCAGCCGGCCGCAGATTCAACATCGCAGCACAGGCGTCGGCTCGCATCGACTCAAATAAAAAACTACCCATGCAGCATGACGAAACTTGACGGCCTCAACAAGGATGTGTTCATCGAGAGCCTGGTTTGGATTACGATCACCGAGAACTCTGAAATCAGACAGGGCAATGACAGCGAGTCGGCATGCCCCATAGTGTCCCACCTCACTTTTGTGTACAGCCAATCAAATCCGTCGCCGCCGCCGCCGGTGCGTTCGCTCGTGTTGTTCCTGCAGGCTTATCTTCCGAAACAATGTTTCAAAAGGTGCGAGCTGTTTTTTTTCACTACTTTGCGTGAATAACTATAATTCGGTACGAATTTTAGTTACCTAAAAGCAGGCAAAAACGAATAAATTGTCAAGGTATCATAGGGAGTGGCGGCGGGATGGAAGAGAACTAATGTGAACATCTTCGACGTGCACGGCCGTGGTTTTCCAGGCGCTCTGGCGTTTTCGTTTCTCTTCACTTCTCAAGTGTTAACGTGCCTTAAATGATTGTTCCATAAATGATTCCCTTTCCCACTATCTAAATTTTTATGACAAATTTGTTCCCACTGCGGAGAAGAACCGTTTTCTTATGTTGCACCGACAAATATGAACCAGCACATGGAAATCTTTACGACTATGCGTCGTGCTCCTACCCAACGCTATCAAGGCAATGAGAGTGGCATGATCGTTCAAATCCACGGATTAAGGTTTTGGTAGCTCTCCGCTAGACCAGGACGTCTTGACGGAACTACAGAAAAGCAAATAAAAGGTAAAACTGGCTATTCATGGTGTTATTTTCGGTAGAATTTTCTCCACAGGAGCAATCTCAGCCGTTTTGCAAAGCTCATATCACGCACATTGACAGAAGTGACGTGTGCTTCTCGTCGTATTTCCACCCAAATACACGAATTGGTGGCGGAGCAATAAGAGTAATTTATCTCAGAGCGAGTTGCTCTAAATCTACCAGTGAGAAACGTGAACCAACTCCAAACCTACCAGTGAAATTCAGAGTTGTCCCTACGGAGCAAAAAAAAAGAAGAAGAAAACCAGCTCTGGATTTACCAGTACAAAATACCATAAAATCAACCAACTAGTTTTGCGACATTGGCTGTGCAGATGGAGCTTCTAGAGCAGCACTTAAAAAAACGCCCCATTTTGAGCTTATGAGATCAACTTAGGTTATTAGTATTGTACATAACATGACAACAATGACCAAAAACAATGCTTGAACTGAACGCGAAGCATGTAATATTAATATAAGTAAACACCCTTCTTGCAGTTTGTCCTTTTTGTGGCACTGCTTCGCGCAAGTTCTTATTATAGAAGATATGCGACCTAGCTCAGAAGCAACTGTGCGTTCCTGCATGCATATTTAGCTGGTTAAGAGGCATACATAAAGATTGTATGTAACGGACTCAGGTGCACACCACCTTACGTTGTCTTTTATTACATCCTTCACTTTTGTTAGTGACTCATTGCGCCTCAGCAATTCTTTAGTTTATGATTGTACTATAAGGGCCTAACATAACATTTTTTCAATGAATGCACATTCTTTCAATCGTTCACCGTGTGTTCGAAAACTGAGGCACATCCTCTCTTTCTTTTCCTCGTAAAAATTTATCCTCGACGGGAAAGTCTGGGTCATTTTTTACTATCACAAATTACACACTACTTAGTTTCAATACGATCTGTATAAGATTGAAACAATGCGGTCGCTTAGTCGAGTATCCCACCTAAATATTGTCATGTACCAGTGACGGCATGGAAGACGGAAACTGGGAGGCTCTTATGAATGATAGAGAACATGTTTGTTAGGAGGACTTGCGCTGATAAGAAAAAATTGGCCTCATATCTGCATGTTAATGCGCGAATGTCATCGAAGGACGATAGTCTTGTGTGTGGAGAGAGTGAACAAAACATTTGATTGATGATCTGCGCATCAAAATTGGTGAATGGTACTCTGGAGGCGCTGCGTTACAGTGGAGGCGAACAAGCGCATCAAGTCACGTCACACGTGAGACATGAGCGCCATCTGGCAATTTTCTTGGAAAACGAAGCGCATGGCTCTGAGATGGGTGGGCGCGCCCGTCTCAGGGGTTATAAGCTGTAGAACGCAAGGCAACAGGTAGGTGCCACCAACGTCTCGTCTAAGTAAAGCGTTGGAAACACTCAATTTTTTGTGCAAGCGTTGCATGGACAGCGCAGCGTGATAAGTGCTACGGTCCTTAAAATTACCTATGTATGCCTTTTCTGGTAAAAGACGCACATGCAGATTACATACGTGTTATGGTGCCCCATACACGCGCAATAATGGCTTTGTAATTGACGATTGCACAATTATGAACGCTAAATCTTGAGCAAAATTGGTGGACACAGCGGATGGAGTCGGCAGTTTCAAGTACCTGGTGTGGTTAACAGTGTACAAACAGACAAATGTACATACAGACAGACTAAAAATTTTGCGTCGAAGGTCCTTAAAAATAGATCGTCGTCTTTGAAAACTGCACGCCTCGGTTTCGATAGCGGCTAACGATGTATTCGGAGGCTGTCAGCGGATAGATAGTGCGTTGAATTTCCCGATAGCGTCGACCACTCGAGACACGCCCCGGTGATTTGTGCCACTGTAATGTAGAATGGCCTGAGTCAGCTCTGCTATAGCAGCTGTTCCCCTGTCTGTGGTGAGCAACTCAGGAGCTCGGTGTTGCAGGAGAATTGATTCACGAAAAATTTGGTGACTTCTACCACTGTATCATTAGGTAAGGGCTTTGCTTCGGCGTATCGTGCGAGGTAATCTGTCGCCACTATAACACACTTGTTACCTGACGTTGATTTACAAAAGGGGCCCAGCAGGTTCATATTGATTTGTTGGAATGACCTCAAAGGCGGTTTAATCGGCTGTAGGAATCCAGCTGGTCTTGGTGGTGTTTTGCGGGGCTGACATTTCCCGCAAGTCTTTACGTAACGTGCGACATCTGCGGAGAGACGGGGCAAGTAGTACCTCTGTTGGATTCTGTGGCGTGCATGGGGAAAACCAGGGCGGCCAATGGTGGGTTCATCATGTAGGGCTTGTAGAATTTTTTTCTCGCAGGCTGGTTGGGAATGCTAGAAGGTAGGTGGTCTTATTGGGTGCAAAGCTCTTTTTCACGACCACTCAGTTTCGCACACAGAAGGGATATATGCCACACCTGAATGTTGCAGGAAAAGAGGAGGATTCGACGTCCAGGTACTTTGTTGCAGGTTGCGGTCCGAGCACTGCTGTTGTGGGAAAGTGCTGGTGCTGATCGGCCCAAGAAAAGCATCATTATCGTCGGGCTTTGGAGGTTGGCCGACGGGAACTAATGACGGGCAGTATGCGTCAGAGTGCTTACGGCCGGGCGTGTAGACTGCCCCCACATCGAACACGTGAAGACGTAGAGGCTCCATCAAGCTAGGTGGCCAGATGGGTGTTTCAAGTTGGCAAGCCAGCACAATGTGTGATGGTCAGTCACAACCTTGAAGAGACTGCCGTGCAATGACAGTCGGAATTTTAACGTGGCCCAAAATATCGCTAGACACTACTTCTCTGTCGAAAAATGTTCCAATTTCTACTTCAACAGAAAACGGCTAGCGTATGCTATGACAGTCTTGTAGTCTTCTTTGTTCTAAAAAAACAGCGTCGAAGCCGATGCCGCTCGCGTCCATATGAATTTCAGTTTCGGCGTTTTCGTCAAAGTGTCCAACGTACAGGCGGGGACTGTAAACGGCGTTTAAGTTCTTCGAATGAGTCCCGTTGTGCATCTGCCTATTTGAAAGGCACGTCTAACTTGGTCAGCTGCGTCAAGGGCACATCAATGTGCGAGTGCGAAAAATTTCTGACGAACCGCCAATTATATATGCGCATAGCCCTAAATACCTGTACACGGCTTTCTTGTCAGCTGGCTGAGGAAAATTTGCAATGGTATTTTTTCTGTAGATCTGGGCGTACCTCGCCTTTGCTTATGATGTGACTAAGAAACTGTAACTCCTCGTAGATGAAGTAGCATTTTTCTGGCTTCAGCCTTAGTCTTGATGATTTGATTGCGTCAATATTGTTCGAAGTTTTTTCCAGTGATCAATGATTTTGGATGAGAACACGACGACATCATCTAAATATACCAGACAGATTTGCCACTTCAGACCTGACAGTACTGTGTTCATTTCATGCTGAAAGCTTGCTGGGGCAGCACAAAGCCTGAATGGCATCACTTAGAACTCGTACAGACCATTCGGTGTGACGAAGGTCGTTCTTTCCCGATCTCTTTCGTCGATTCTGATTGACCTATATCTGGTCTTCAGATCAATGGACGAGAAGTAATTTGCATGACTAAAGTACTCCAATGTATCATTGATCTGTGCTAAGTGGTATACGTCCTTCTTGGTCATGCTATTCAATCGGTGATAACCAACCCAAATCTGAGAGTTCCGTCCTTTTTTTATTTGACAAGGAACCGGTGCTTCCCAGGGCCTCTAAGATGGCTGAATCACACCTTCATGCAGCATTTCTTTTATTTGCTCTTGGATGGCTTGGCGTTCACGTGATGACACACCATAACAGCTTTGGCGGAGGGGCAGATATCTTCTTGTGTTATTATTCGGTGTTTTGCAACTAACGCTGGAAGAGGCAGCGATGCAGTTGCCGTAACTTCGGAGAAGGTTATGGAGCTGCTGTTGCCTGTGCTGGACAGGGAAGGGTTAATGTGGAATGTCGGCTCCTAGTTTCAGGTCTGCGTGGTCACTGTGTCGGGTCTGACTGGGCGAGGGCATTGCTCACTTAGCATTTTCTTCGAAGGGGGCAATAGTTGCGGCATCAATCAAGTGACGAAACTCTTCGCTGAAGTTTCTTATCATCACGTCCATTTTCCCATTCTTGATTTCGGAAGTGCCTCTTGTGATTCCAATGAATCTGTCCAACAGAAGCTGCATGTTTCCCTCGACGATGTCATTGATATTTTCAGTAGTTGCTACGGTTACGTTCACCAGCATTGTTGATCGAGGTGGGACGATAACGTAACCTAGGAGCACATGGATGGCTGCTTGTTTCTTTAGCACAGAGTGTGAATTTATGGACTCATTCCTGGCAAGTATGATGAACCCGGACCTCAGATTGATAACATCGTGGTGGTGGTTCAGGAAATCTAGGCCGAGAATCTCGTCATGAGAGCACTGATGTAGCACCAAGAAAGTCGCTGGGTACGTGCGTCCATTGAATGCCACCTTTGCAGTGCAACGTCCGGATGGGGTGAGAATGTGGCCTCGTGCTGTGCGGATCTATTGGCCATTCCAAGCAATCTTTACCTTTTTAGTTGTGTGAATAGGTCATTGAAGACTGAGTAACGGGCGCCTGTATTTATCAAGACACTTACCGTGCGACCATGTAGACTTCTACGCTGGTGGTCCATGTACTGGAGTTGCAAGTAGGTTTTGGGTTGGGTTCACGGCTTCTTTGGGTACTGTGACTGCTGTAGGGACCAGTCATTGTTATTTCAGTTGGAAAGCAGGCGTCATAGCAACCGTGTCACGTCATCCTTGTAGTAGTAGAGGCAGTGTCTTCATCGTCGTCGGCGGAGCCATTGTCATCGTCTAACTGTCTCGTTGTCGCTGCGTCGTCGTCGGTGGAGAATTTTCGCGTTTTCGTTCTGAAACAACCTCACCTCCAAAAGCTGCAGGTTTTAGTTTCCTACGGGGACTTGGGCACCTTCTTTGTGTTGCTGATGCATACCAGCGGTTTGGTGACGTGTGTCGTGTGGTCGATGGCAATGGTCAACCACTGGAAGTGTACTCGACGTGGCGTAAGTAGTCTTCGATGGCTGGCGCACGCTGCCCAGGGATTTGCCGCGGTGCCCCAGAGGAGAAACCCTGCAGTCTCCGCCTATAGCGGCAGATTCGAAGAATGTGGCTGGCCTCACCACAATAATTGTGTGGGGTTTTAACGTCACCAAACCACCATATGATTATAAGAGATGCCATAGTGGAGGGCTCCGGAAATTTCGACCCCCTGGGGTTTTTCAACACGCACCCAAATCTAAGCACACGGGCCTACAGCATTTTCACCTCCATCGAAAATGCAGCAGCCGCAGCCGGCATTTGAGTCCACGATCTGTGACTGAGCAGCCCAATACTTTAGCCACTAGATCACAGCAGCGGGGTCACCACAATATAATCACAGAAGGTGGTCATCGGGAGTTCTCCAGGTGTCGCACTTTCTTGGCCCACGGCGTCACTCGTGTGTAGGGCGGTTGCGAAAAGAAGGATGACTTTTTGGGACGGCTGGGTCGCGTTGAGAGGGACTGGGAGCACCTCGTCAAGGTGGTGTACTGTGAACTTCCGTGGCGGGAGTCATAGAGTCAGCCTCTAGTCCCGTCGTCGCTGACACAGAGCCTAGCGCCTGCTGGATTTCTTCAGGTACTGCGTCTTAGAGAGACGCTACTTGGGGAGGAGGGGGGTGGGAGGTACACGGCAGCAGTCGATGTAGTTCTTCTCGAACCACTTCACGAATGACTTCCTGCAGCTCGTTGATGGTTAGCGTGCAAGTCACTGACCCCTCTCTAATTGGTTTCGAGTACAGTGAGTTAAGCTGCAGTGGACGGTTGATTTGCCGAGTTTTGGCATCGTGGGTCCTTGCAATGGTGCACGCTTTTTCGGTAAATTCAGTAACTCTTTGGGGGGGGGGGGGGCTTCTTATGAGGCCGTCGAAAAGAAGCGATTCTTTCACTTCTCGCATTAGGTACCCAACCTTTTTGTCTTCCCTTATGTTTTGGTCTGCTCGGCGAAATAGCCGTTTCATTTTTTCCGACGTACATGTTTACAGTCTCATTGGGTTGTTGGGTCATTGATTCAAGAAACAGCTGTGTGCTTTCTTTTCGCATGACGCTGGTGATAGTCTTGAGCACCTCATTCCTTAAAATATCCTGCGTGATCAGTGTGGTTTCGTTGTTTTCGTACCATGTTTTGGCAGAGCAGTCTAGCAGAAAGTAAACGTATTACAATTTCATTTCTTCATCCCACCTGTTGATTGTAGCCCCCAACTCGAATCGGTCCAACAGTTCTTCCGAGTCTTTAGCGGCGTAACCATGGAAAGTTGGGGGAACACGAGGCTGTTGCAAAATAACAGTGGTGGGTGTCGGCGCGTCGCTCATGATGGATGTGGAAGCTCGATTTCACGGTCACCTGGGATCTGGTAGCAGTCCCAGCTCAGGCGGCAAGTTTCGGAGATAGCGGCTGTTTCGAGTATGCGCGAATTTCGTGTCCTTGTTCGCTGCGGTGGCCGTTGTAGAATTACTCTTAGGCATACCCAGCACCTCCACCAAACGTCTGTACTAGTGACGGCCCGGAAGAGGGAAACAGGGAGGGTCTTTAGAAAGGGAGAGGACACGTTTAATAGGCGGACTTGCGACGCTATGAAGAAACTTCACGCGTCGGTTTCGGTGGCGGCTAATTATGCATTCGGAGGGCGTCGGGTGATAGACAGTTCACTGTATTTCCAGGCAACGTGGACCACTCAAGACAGGCCCCCGAAACAGCTACGTGCACATGACCGCGATCATGCCAGATAAATTAGGACAATGTCGTATCACCAAAGGAGAGAAGGCTGCTAGCCGGCATGCACGAAACAAGCAACAAAATGCTTCGCGGTAATACTATGTATCCGCAAGTGATCACGTGTCTTGCAATTGCACTTCGCTATATTTATGTTTCATATTGACTGGCTTTAATTTCCTCCCGCCTACAAGAACAACGTAAGGCGTCTTCGTGAACACTGATAGTGCTTTCAGTTGGCGCAAGTCTCACTAATTACAGCCACAATTTTGGTTGTAGCAATATTTGCTATTTAATATGCTCTTAAAATGACCCTTCCCGCCACTCTAAAGTCTCAAACCCCCAAGTGTGGCGTTAATTATAAACTTCACTTACATCGTCATCGTAGACAAAGCCGTATATCGTGGAGTGCGTGGCACGGAACAGGTAGCCGAGGAGCTCAATAGGGCAACGGATCAGAAGGTTCTCCAGAAATTTGGGCCAAATATCGCTGCTTTGGACAGTGTCCCTGTGCCGCGTGTCGAAGATGGCAGCAAGGCCCGTGAAATTGAAGTATTCCTGGAGCATTGTAAGCGTGTCTTCCTGCGTGGAGTAGCAGAGGGACACCGTGAGCGCAACCGGGTCACGTAAAAATTAATTAACAAAGTAAAAGTGATTGAACAAGATAAAAGTGAGCCCTGTAACTGTCTACATCATAGGGCGACACCTAAACAGTGGCTCACGACGGATGGAGGTAAGGAGGGATTAAAAGGGATAGGGAGGAATAAAGGAATAGCGATACAAATGGAGGCAGGGACAGAGAGACCCATATAGAAAAATAAGGCGCAGATAGGAAAGATGAACATTGTCGCAAGAGTCCGAGGACGGGGCACCACTCAGCGAGAGCTCTTGCCGGTGTCAGGAGGTGGCGTAGGGTGAGTCAGTTGGTCAGAGCTGCGCTGTCATCGGAGATCGCGGGGGCACAATCGGTCGGCATGAAATGCAGCGAGTGAGTCCCGAGAGAGAGTTGCAAGTGGACGGGGATATGGGGTGCAAGAAGGAGAGAGAGTGACGGCGAGACTTCTGAAGGAGCGACGAAGCACAGCCCCTAACCTCTCCTACACAATATCGCAACGCATGCACCGGTTGCTAGAGGCGACGATAAGCGCGCGCCCCCGCAGCTGTTTCTATGAGAGATGGAGAAAAACCCTCTTTGAAATAGGCATCGACGTGAGTGCTGGAAGAACGGTCTGAAGTGAAACTTGGTGTAGCGCTTACTGGAAGGAACGTTTGTACTAAAAGCAAAGGCACGCGAGGTGGTTTGGGTTTCGCCTAAGTATAATTGCAGATAAAGACTGTTTGCTCAATGTGTGCTCGAAAGTTGCGAGCTGGTAGAGAGGGCCAAGCGAGCGAGATGACACGCGGAGAGTGGCGATAGTCTAGGGAGAGAGTGAGGTTAACGAGTGCACACTGCGAGGGAAGGCGTGATCTACTTGGCACCGCCCCAAAACCTGCGGCCTGGGGAGGGCGGGGCGCACGAAGGGACAGCGTTAGACAGGCTAGTCAAAGAGCTGCTTCGCATCTAGTAGAAAAGCTACTTTGCAGAGATCCCTCGAGTGAGTGCCCTTGCTCTTGCCTGGAGATATTTACCCTTGAGTGCGTGTGGGTAGACATATAATTTACACATTAGGCTAAAAAATACTTTGAACACTTGAACTGTACAGCGTCGTTATTACTTTATCTGGCCCTCTTAGTACCATCTTCTGACCCGTTAACAATGAGCATCGCTTCTCGGTGTCAACACCGGCTGAGAAAAACAATGGCTGCGCGTACAATATAGGTCAATGTGATCTATCCGAAATGAAATATATGACGTGAAGTAACGGTGTGCCCCTGCATCGTAATCAGTGAGATGTGGCGTGTATTGCTGTGAAATGATGTGTATGCGTAGCAGCGTATACTATCCTACAAACACTATGCATCCGTAAAATAATATACGCAGTAACGCAACTTCGCACTTCCTTGATGGTGTTGCTTGTGGTTACTTCTTCTGCCAGAGGGATTTTTATTGCGTCGGCCTTTAAAAGGCCATCTCTTCCCTAACTCCCATGCTGCCTCGAATAGTGAAATTTAACACTTCTGCTGGGCTGTGTTCTACTGTGCCTTCTACTTTTCTTCAGGCATTTTGCACACTAAAATATCTTCATTTTCAAGTGTGTTGTAGCAACGAGCACAAGCAGCGACCTTGTTTCCCCGAAATATTGCATGTGTCAGTGCAATTACTCGCATTTCATCACATCCGTATAGGATTTTGTTTCGAAACAGTTTCATGCTCTGGCGCTCAAGCATTGCCGTGGCTGCGTTGCTGTATAAATTCTTGCCACCCAGAAGGCCTAGGTGGATTTATGGTAGAGGCCAAACCGCTACTAAAATAAAAACATTCCCTACAAAATTCATCATATTGTCGTGCCGTTGGTATGGACTTCACTCACTAATCAGTAAATGATGAGCAATCAATCGAAACACTTCAATAAATGATCAGATGCATGTCCCAGTGTTAGATAGTGAACAGATGTGCCGTAACGTATGCCAGTAGAGAATTCGAATTGTGACACGTTGTGTAGCCAAAACACCAGTCGGATTCTGTAAATAGGCGTTCCACTTATGCATTCACAACAATACCGCCCCGCCACGTTGGCTGGCTAAGGTACTCGGTAGCTGACCCGCAGGTCAAGGGATCTAATCTCGGCTGCGGCGGTTGCATTTTCGAAGGAGGCGGAAACGCTGTAGGCCCGTGTGCTCAGATTTGGGTGCACGTCAAAGAACTCCAGATAGTCGATATTTCCGAAGTCCTCCACTACAGTGTCTTTTATAATCATTAGGTCGTTTTGGGACGTTAAACCCCACATATCAATCAATCAATCAACTTATAACGATACCAATTTTCACAAGATATCGTTATAGCAATAGAAAGCTGCTGCACCGTCAACTTTTCTGTGGTTTAATTGGGAATACAATCCACTTACAGCAATACTCGGATGTTTCATTATCGCTTATACGAAGGAATTCTGCCTGTTGAGTGTTCATACTTCTCAACACCTGCCCACGTCCACAACAATTTCCAGCACTCCTTAAATTTACGCTATGCCACACCAAATAGCGTTGACTAATTGCAGAAAAGCAGACTTTCAAAATCAGTGACAGCTGATTTTGAAAACACGTGTAACGGAAGCCACTACCGCACCCGCACCTTTATATGGTGGGGGTGCGGTGGTGGCTTCTGTTAAACATGCAATTTGAGAAAAACGCTGAGCCTGTAGTGAGTTTCAGCGTCCGAAACTTCTGACGTTGCCATACCTTGCCTCTACGGGGCTTGTGGTGATCCCGCGAAAGTATCATAATGTTGAAAGTTTTTGAAAATCAGTCAATTTTGTCATCCTCCTTACAAAGGTTTAGTGGCATACAGGGGCGTTGGCAGAAATGTTTTTCGGGGGAAGGGGGTGGGGGGTAAGAGGCTGCCACAAGGCTGCAGGGGGGGGGCACCCTCATGAAATCGTAATTTTTGCTCGGTATGTCATGGCGAAAAAAAAAACCTCAGTGGGGGGTGGAGAAGAGCACTGGGCCTGGTGTTCCAGCCCCTGGCTACAGTGTTGCTGGCATATATCCATCCGATATTGTTCTCTCAAAATAGGGTTCTTTGTCATACCCCAATTTTCATTTCTTACTGTGTAACCTATTATTAGCAGCAAGCAGTCATAACCAATAAATTCTCGTAATTTTCGTGTCAATTGTGAGTGTTCTTCTAAGAGGCCTCAACCATATATATAAAACCTCAGGGCCCTTCGGAATCTAGTCGTTGGACATGCACGTGCAGGGGTGTCTATTTTCCAACCTTCTCTACTTGGAAACATTTTCTATGTTAAACTCAAGACAGCGTGCTCCGTACATTGGAAGTACGACTGCTGACGTCTCTGGCGATGTCGTGAAAGAAGTCCGAAGCCAGCCGCCTTCCTTGACCGGCCACGTAGCCACGAGGACGTCGATGCCATCGTCGTGCTTCGGTTCTGCTGCGAGAATTGTGGCCGGTGGTCCAAGGAGACGCTGTGAGGCCAGATCTAGCAACTTCGAGGTGTCAGCCGTGTCGAGGCATTCGGCCGATGCTGGACCGCATCCAATTGCCTTCTCGACGAGGTAGGCCCGAAATGGAGCGTACCTTTATTGACAGATGAAGAGACTTGGTTAGCTATTTCGTATTGCCCAATTCAGAGTTGCGATACACAAGAAACCAAGATTTTCTTCGGCAAACTCGCTGAACTGTCACCTGTACTTAGTAATTGGGACAATATTTGCAACAATTGATGGGGTTTTTGTCGTGCTCCTGGAAGATTCTCCTTTTGTGCAGTGCTATCACTTCATCCCTTCGATATTTCATTGAAAACCATGCCTATTGATAACCTGGATCCGGGCCCAACTACCTGTGGGCGACAGTTGTCGTGCCACCACTTCTAACGAGTGAACCCCGAACCTACTGGTGACGTTTATAAAATAATTTTCAATAAAAAATTAGGTGACGTGCGAGTCCATGAGGAGAAATCACATCACAGCTGTCATGATTTAAAGTTGCCTCAATGTCGTGTGTAAATCTCTTAAAATTACCAGTTAACCTAAAAGGACGCTTGTGGTGCCGCCGCCACCACCACCACCACCATCATCATGATCATCATCATCATCATCATCATCATCATCATCATCATCATCATCATCATCACCATCATCATAATCATTTCTTGACCCACGCACCGCTGATCCTAGCTCGAGCAGCGCGAGAACAGAAGGCGTTTACGCGCCGGGCGTATCAGGTGCTGGCAGCCGCCGCCACTCCGCTTCAGCCCTACGAATTTTCGAGCTTGGCACGGCCTCGTCGGCAGCCTTCACTACGTTGTCTCACATTTCCCCCCTCACTCGCTACAAGCTAAGTACAAATGAAACTCCGAAAGTATGGCGTTAGTATCGGGAGCCAAGCTACCACACAACAAGTGCACACCGAGTTTCGTCTATCCATTTTCAAAATGTTAAGCTACCGCCGTTGCTAAGCATTTAATGTACTTGGAATGTTTTTGCAGCTGGCTGTTCAGTGACTATGTCTCACTCACCTTTGCAGCGGTGAACCACCATGAAGAAGGACTCGCTTGATGATGTCGCGAACGTTTTCGCGGTTTGAAAGCACCATCTCTCCAACAGTCCACGCTCCTCCTCCAGCGCCCAGCAAGCTTATCTCGGTAGTGTTGCCGCCAAAATACTTGATGTTGTGCCACGTCCACTTTATTGCAAGCATCTGGTCTGACAGCGACAGCAAAGGCACTTCTTGCGGCTGATCCTCTGTGAAAGGCATCCCCCACAAATTGCTGTTTCCTTTATGCAACCCATTGCAAAAGACGTAGACTCACTTGGCTTTTACACTTTACCCGATTTTACCTACACATACTTTTTTACCATAGTGCAAAATTGCAATATTCTAGTCAGCTCGGTAGTATGATGGGCAAACATGTCCACATTCTGATGGCGGTGTTCTATATTAGCATGAACTTTAGATGCGAAAAGTTTCAGTACAACTATTAATACTCGACTATAAATTCCACGTAATTGAATTTTAGTTCAACAATGACTAAATCAATGACACGCGTAAACGTTGTCAAAAATCTGGAAAAAAATTAAACTGTGAATATCAGGCCATCACAACGTAGGTGATCGCTTTAGCAACATCTGGGCACCTTCCAAACTGCAAAAGCGGCCAGTTTTCTATGGTGCTTCACGTCCCCCTGACACCAACTCGCACAATCTTTTTCTCACTTTTACAGTGAATTGCACTTAACCCATGAATATAAACACATGATATTAGTTGCCACTCGCAGTACCTTGGCCAAACGAGACATGTCAGGTAGTTTCTTTGGTAGGTCGCATTGCTTCCGTATATTGACGCGTATATCTCCTCATCAGATGAATATAAATCTGTTTTATTTCAGCGTCCTTAGTTTCCGAATTTCAGCCGCAAAACAAAAGCACCTAGCCTTCGGAACCATGCAAGTTCCGGACTTTAGTGAGTGCTCGGTGCTTTTGAATGAAACTTTATTATGCTCCGTGGCTGACGCTCTATTTGTCGATCAAATAACGTTTAATGATTTGCTGTGTTATTTTCAAAGTATCTCACGCTCGACAACAAACGCGCATGCCTCATGTTATGTCTCTTGATGAAGTTTTAAAGTCTAGTTGTGAATATTTGCTTGTGTCGATGTTTTAGATTTCTAGACACTGTTATTGATATAAGAAACGATTTCCCACGAAAGAATTTTCTATGCTGCTGATTAAGAACGCTTCCAATATATGTATTGCAATTCAATAAACACTCCACATTGTGATCGCACCAGCCTTCGAAATTTACAAACATTGTGGTATACTCCTGTTTTTGTGGAAAATTTTGTCCTTCGAGACCTATAAAAACATCTGTTAAAGGTAGCTGACAATATATAGGAAGGCTGATTATACAGTAAAATTGCAGTCAGTGTTCTAACCAATCAAGGCACACAGATCGTTGTCTTTTTATTGTATTTCATGCCGCAATATAAGTATGAACACCCTCCGGACGCTCCCTGGAGTTTTACGGTCCGGGTACAGACTTTTCTCCGGTTACCTTACACTTGCCTATAACTGTCGTTCTCCTCTAGAGGCTCCCCGTGGTTCAGCATCGGAAGTCACATTTCGCGAGTAGGACAAGTTAACTCGAAACAGTTTCTCGCCTACCCTCTCGCACTCTCCGGCACGCTAGCGTAATGAGCGAAAGTACTCCAGTTCATTGAGCTGGATCCGTTCCTCATTTGCTGGGCAACGCAATCGGTAGCGTACCCAGGGGGTGGTAAACGAGGTGCGTGCACCTGCCCACGCCCTCCGGAATTATTTTTTGCCATGGCATACACAGAACAAAATGATACTTGACTACATGTGCCCTCCTGGCAGATCAAAGAAATGCCCCCTTCATCCCTCCTCCGAATGAAATTTCGATCCCCTAAACGCAATGCTTGTTCATCTAAAGTACTGTTATGCTTTTGATGAAGAGGCCGTCTACATAACTGATTCTTGACAATTATTATGCTACCTTAGCTGGCTGTCAACGCTCCCTTTTTTTGATAGCGCAGGGAGGGGGCGGGTGGGGGACGAAAATGCCACTCTCACAAAAAACAGCTAGCATTAGGGGATCGTTGTTTACCTTTCAATGGCACGGCGAGGGGTCCGAGCCGGAAATTCGGTGCTACGACAACCACGCCACCCAGACTTGCGAGAATAGCACCGTCGTACCAGTCAGCGCCTCCTTGCCCGAAACCCACGCTGAAAAGCACGACAACGACAGGAGCTGAAGCATGGCAAACGTCGTTCGTGTAGTCACATGGTGGGACAGGGCTCCATATATTCAGGTACAGGCAGTCCTCGCTATACCAAGACTTCGGTACTTCTCCAAATATTTGGGGCTTTGGCCACGTGATGTTTGAGCCATTTTCCACCACTTGCATGCACCTGTGCACAGTGCAATATGCGTAGGTTATTACGCGTTCAAATCACCAAACCAGGTTGTGGCTCAACATAGATCATTAGGCAAGAATACGGCCCAAAACTATCGACCACCTCCCCAAAGGAAATCCTGTTGGGATGCGAAGCAGCAGAGATGCGCATGGCATTTATCCGGTTAAAACGGGCGTCAACGCTTGTGCTGGAACAACGGTTTAAAGCCAAACTCAGTGAAGCGTTTACTCGAGTAAACATTTGTTTTATACGCAAAGACACGAGAGGCGGGACGCGTTTCTGAAGACGCTTTCGCTCAGCTTCTTTAGCTCGCGTCTCGTTGGTGTTACCCGCGCGCCGTCTGTATTCTCGAACGCGATCAGTGTTCTTGACTCACGCCTCGTTGGTGTCGCTGGTCTTCCACTACCAACGCTTGCGTTTGGCTTCCTTGGCTTGCACCTCATCGGTGTTGACGTCACCATTTAGGAACGCGATCGGCTTCGCTAACCCTCGCTACACCGGCGAAATCCGGGAAAAGTACGCGACACTAGTGGTAAGCGTGCCGCGACGGCGTCTCGCCCGTCGGTGCAAACGCGCGGCAAGCAGCGGTGCGTTGTCCACATTGTTGGCGCCGCGAGATTCTCGAGGTGCGCGCTCGCGGCTTCTTCTCGCTGGCTCGCGGCTTCTTCTCGCAGACTGATGGAGAGAGCTGGTCCGGATGAGAGGATGCCCACGTGAGGAATGGTCGCGAGTGTTGAGAGAGGAGGAGAGAGTGAAGCGAGATAGAGCTGACACGCGGCAACAGCGCGACCTGCCTAGGAGAGAGACGTCACCGGGCACTGCAAAGAGGACGCGAGCTACTTGGCGCCGCTCGTACACCTGCGGCGAGTGGAGTGTTATGGACGGAGGGACAGCGTTACGCAGGCTAGTCAAAGAGCTGTTTCGCCTCTAAAATGTAAACTTGACGATTAGCGACATGGTTACGTATGTCTCTCACTTGCACTAATTTTCTTTTTTTGTAGGTGTTCAGTGATGTCTCCTTTCGAACACTTTGGTCACGAGAACTACAAACTAAATCCAGTGGTAAGCATGATTCGAACTGAAGTCTAGACCTGATGGATCGCACTGCCACATCGTCGAGCTTTTCGCTACACGCAATTTTAATAATCTGGAAGAAACACTTTAGGGTCAAGATTAGAGTGGCTGCGATTCCAGGAGGGATGATCTCAGTAGACGACAGCAGTTATCGCTTGGTTGCTAACATTTTAAGTTTTCCGTATTTAACGAAACCTAAATTTTTTTGTAGGGGCGGTTTGAAACATCACCGTAATTGCGCAGGCTGTGCACTACAAATATAAACTTAGCTTGTTCTCTAATGATTTACTTGGAAGGTGATACGAGTGAGTTGATAAGGTGAAAACAAGCTTCTTCATTTCCTCAAAGCTCTATAGAAACCGACTGAAGCGCCGTAGCTAAGAGCAACAGCATGGCTCACGCAGTGAAGCGATGCACACCGCTAAACAAATGAAGCATGAAATGCAGCTACTGAAAGTGGTGCTAACGTAGACTTATCTGGCACAAATACGAATGCCCTGGTGCCCATAAAATGATTCAGAGCCCCGAACTAGGGACTATTCGTTGCCAAAGAGTGCAGGCGAATAAGTAGTGCCAGGGACGGCCAATATGCAGTATCTCTAGAAATCTGGCTTCACTGTCCAGTGCACCTAAATACGTGTTCCCTTGCTCCTAAATATAGCGTTGGGTGTCGTTTAGCGCTTCACAGCTGAGTCTTGCGGATGCGGCCGATGCGGTAAATAAAACGCTCTGTATGCGTGTGTACCCGTGATGGGCAACGCATTAGGGTTCCTTTGAAAGGCTTAATTGGTTCACTAGTCGCGGAATATGATGCTCCGCCCACCCGTCATAGGTAACACATTAGGTAGCGAAGATCAGAAAGCAGCGTACTACACCTCCACATCCTTCGATAGCGAATGTAAACGTGAACTTGGCACCAGGTAAACAGGAGTAATTAAATATTCCGTGCTCTAATTAAAACTGCCAACCTAATTACCAGAACCAACTCATGAACATCACATTACGCCTTTGTTAAACCACGCTACCTCTAAGTATTACACGAATGCAATTACAAATATTATTAATAATTAACGGTTGCGAACTCTAGTGGAGAGTGCACTTAACATCTATTAGAAAATCTGTGATAAGATTGGTCATATCAAACTAACATATTGAGAGTTCAATTACTCTGGCTAATTATTCAAAGGTTATATACCCAATTTTATTATTGCAAGTTATTCAGGATGGCACCTCAAGGATTGCGCATGCGTACTTGGACGCATCTGGAGTCAACAGTCACTAACGTTTTCTATTCATACTGTCAAATACGCTATTAGGGACCACTAATCGAATTTGCTTAGATAGAAGAAAATATAAGATGTGTATAATAACCGAGAGCTGTACATTCTAAAAGACAAGGCATGAAAAAGGGACACAAAAAGCCCTGAGGATCTCCCAAATGCTGACCACCTGTTTTTGGCGTTTGTCGTGTCTCGACGTTTTTATCGAGTCTATGTTTGCACGCTCTGGGTTTTACATGACGGGTATATTTTAAACAAATCGATCAATCGAAGCTCCAGGAACACAGACTTCATGGTGCTCTTCGTATAAGAAAGTGGCTAAACATATCCCCGTCAGTCTTTTGGTAAGTAAGGTGAGTGCATCTTACCGTTTCTTGATATTCGCAAAGCCCTCCGGTTACCCTTTGTTGGAAACCGGTGCAAATGCGCACCACTTTTTCACTGCATTTCAAACACTCACAACAAAAAACGGTCCGAACTGGGGCCACTCTTTCAGGTTTATCATCAAACGAGGTATTAAAGAAGGCTATAAATATGAGTTCAAATGTTGCTACGATACGTCACATGGACCGCATATTTCATTGAGTGCGTGCCTTGATTTCTACTCGCTTTCTACCTCTTGGCCTAAATGAGCGCCTTGAAAACATTCCTTCAACATACCTGGGAAGTGTCCCGTTTTCCACGTTTACTTACAGGGAGCCCCGTGGCTCACTTGCTATTCATGAATAGAGTTTTCTGCACTGATTGTTGAGTTTTCTTTGAGAAACACTTCTCGGACATAATTTTGACTATAGTTCAGGACAACTATCTGAACATAGATTGATTATATGCAGTATTCTGATTTTTAATATGGTGTGGATTCTATCTTTAAAAGTGGCGTAAATCACTCCCTGATTTAGGGGCATGCAGCAGAATACTGCTGCCGCGAGCTCGCGTTGGCTGATGTGTGCCTGTCACAGGTGACTTCCGCACGTGCTAGGCATGACCAACTTTCACTCTGCAGCACATACTATGTTCCAGTTTCACTACTCATCGCATACATGAGACAACTCTAAAATAAATAGCCCCTTTAAACATTTAATTATCATATCCCTGATAACTTTTTGTTAATTTTATACCGCGAGATGATAGTGGTACACATGTGAACAACTTTTCATGCCGGAATATAAAGACAGTACAACATATATGCACCACTTTTTTTTTCTCAGAATCAAGGCTGTCCAGTTTTTTAAAGAAAGAAGTGTCAACCATTTTAAAAGTCATTGCAACTGTTAATCTCCTCACTTTAACCTTTCATAAAATTTATTTTGAAGGTCGAGCATCGTGAAGGCTCTGCATGTATAACTTTCTTTGAGTATATAAAAATTTCAAGCTGATGACACTTGTTAGGCGACGCAACATCGACGATAGTGTAACAATGTTCCTTCAGGGCTTGCCTAATTTCGCATTTGTTAGAGCGAGTGCAATTTAGAGTAAACACAGACCGCAGTCACTATACCAGATATCGAAGAATATATGACACACACCGGACGCCTGGGAACTGCGCGACGACATGGTTGAGCCGCCGCCGGTCGGCGGGAACGGCGCGTTGAAACCTGGCGGGCTTCGAGGCGTACGGTAGGCCCAGATAGTGAAACACGTTGTTTTCCAGTACCCAGCGCAGTTCCCCGCTGACGAGTCCCACCTTCGGTGCGTACGCGAACGATGGTGCCCGTACTCAAGGCGTAGACCACGAAGTACGCGAACAGCGTCAAGAACAGCGCGAACAAGGCGGCGTACATCACTTGGCACACTTTCTCGGCACGTTCGCTGCACATGGAAACAAAATGAACGACTTTGGACCCATGCGTAAGAAAACTACAATCACAATATCTATAATAACTAGAGTTTTATTTCTCACTTGGCACTACAGGACCCTTAACTCTCCAACCACCTACGTTGGCGAGGCGGGGGGCACAAAATGCATACGCATTAGAAAAAGTTTACCAGCAAATAACAGAACCAGTCCCCCCCCCCTTTCCTCTCCAATACATAGTCGGTGCTTGACTAACTAATCAAACCGCTGTCTATGGGAATATTCCCATTATGAATTTACCGCTTCTTACTGGTAACGAAAATATGACCTATATCATTAAAAACAAGGCAGTTATCTCTAACAAGGGTTCTAACACGTTGCTGTAGGACATCCATGATCAAATACTTCTTGCGCAAATTTTATGAACGAAGGAAGAAACAGACACAGGCGGATGCAATGTGATTCATGGTGATTCATCCAGGTATATATGTGCGACAAAACTAAACACTAATGGCATAGCTTAGCGCTGGCAGTGTGCCAGCGCTCAACTAATCCACTTCCCTAAATGTAGGGCCCCTTCAAGAAGGGCCATTTCTTTCTCTGTCCATGAAACTAAGGTCATGCTCATGCAGCTGTTGGCATGAATCTGCATTTCAACAGCCTCCACAACCTCACGTGTGCGTTGATTCTCGTCATGGAAAACAGCAGTGCACCGCTTACACATAGCCTTGTACTCGTCTATCAGTATATGCAGGGCCAGTGTTGAAATGATTGGCAGATATGTGGCGATGACACGTTCACGTGCTCAAGGCAAGGGCGGATTTCATTAAGATAATATGATTACACTGTATGCTACCAGAACCGCTAGACTTAAAGCCCCTATGTTCAACAGTATACTTCACGAGAAAACGCCACAAATGAAGTAATATAAACCGGTGATATAAATTAGTTATATAGGCCAGACGAAAGTACGTGAAGGGTCACTAAAGCAAATGTATGGACCGTCTCCGCGAAGGGAACCATGATGGCACGCGAAGCAGCAGCGGTGCGCACGCCGTTGACCCGGCTGAAACGGGCGTCGACGCTGGTGCTGGAAGAACGGTTTGGAGCGAAACTCGGCGTAGCCTTTACTCGAGTAAACGTTTCTTTGAAACGCAAAGACACAGGAGGTGGGACGCGTTGAAGACGCTTCCGCTCGGCTAGCTTGGCTCGGGTCTCGTCACTGTTACCAGCATGCCGTTTGTATTCTCGAACTCGATCAGCGTTATTGACTCGAACCTCGTCAGTGTCGCTGGCCTTTCACTGCCGACGCTTGCGTTCGGCCTCCCTGGCTCGTGCCTCGTCGGTGTTGAAGTCACCATTTGCGAACTCGATCGGCTTCACTAACCCTCGCAACGGCGGCGACAGCCGGGAGAGGTACGCGCACACTAGCGAGAACCATGCGCGACGGCATCGCGCCTGTCGGCACGATCGTGCGGCAAGCGGCGGCGTGCTTTTCACGTTGTCAACGCCGCGAGAGGCTCACGGCTTTATGTTGCCGACAGACGCAGAGAGGGAGCGCGGACGAGATGATGGCCGGTTCGATGCTCACCGGACCGGCTACGCGGCGGTGCGATCCGATGATCACGAACCGTCATGAAATGTCACCACTCCGGCTGCCGCCTCGTGGCGCCGCACGCCATGTTGCACGGAAAATTGCAACATCTGTCTCGCGCTTTACACAGCATAGTCAAAAAACTGCTTCGCATAAAAAAAACAATTTCTCCCGAAAACATCCCTCTTATCGCGACACGACGCTTGTTAAGAAAGAAAACGCGCGAAAACCAAAAATTCGGGTACAGACGCCGCTTTGTAATTCGCGCACCAGTCACCACGATGTAAAATATTTCGAAGCAGTCAAGTGGGTATCACGTGCCTTTCAGTCGATAAACATGGAGTAAGTTGTCATCTGTGGCTGGCAGATACTTAGCGTACCAAGTTTCATAAAAGTTTGATCGAGCCAATGTTCCGAATATAAGAAACAGTTGGTCAAAATTTTCGGAGCCCTACACTACGGCGTCTCTCATAATAATATGGTCGTTCTGGGACGTTAAACGCATTATATACATCAATTTAAATTTGTTCATTCAGAAATTTGTGACGTCATGTGCAGAGATTTAGGCACCAAGTTTAAAAATGAAACTTCAACCTTGAATTACTTACGGTAGTGAAACCTATGACATTCGGGTTTTTAAATTGCAGTGTATAAATCTAAACAAAGTCATTATTTCCTTTAGTATTCATGAAAGGTGAATACATGGCATTGTAAATATCAAACATACGGCATTGGCATGAAATTTTGCTATGTGTGTTTAAATAAATATAACACTGTTTAAAACTGTCGAACACAAATAGTAGATCGCGCCTTTTAAAAAAATAGAGAGAGCAAGTCTTAATCAGTAGAGTTGCCATATAAGCAAGAAATTCGTTTTCGTGAATTCACAACATACCAATACACTCATAACAGTAACAGTAAGTACAAATGGAATGGTATATATGTATATGTCGTTGAATTATGGTAGTCTTACGAGTATTCAGAAGAAAGCATCATACTTCTTTCGAAGTCTCTTGCACGGACAATCAACCACAAAAGTTTACGAACCACCGATCCCATGCCAAACTGTCTATCCGCTCCACCTAGTGGTGCGTCATCTACTGCTGATCACGGCACAAGGCCAGAAACAGGTCTTGTTATTCACCGGTCTTATAATTGTATACTCTGGCGCAGCGCATCGTTTGCAGGTTTCACGCGAAGTGCTGATCTGCCGTATGACTGGCACATTAATACTTTGATAGCAGGATCAAACCTATCATGGCGTGTCTCGCTAGTTCCGTTAGCCAGGTGTCACTCCATCACAATGATTGCGACAGATAACTGTAATACTCAGAGACTGCTGTCCAAAGAGATTCAGGGTGAGGCGGATGTCAAAGAGCACGAGGCGTTAAAAAGCTCAATATGAAAATTATCATTGACGCATCGGAAACAGACAAGCCGCAGATTAAGGGAGGGATACATCTCTTGCACTTCGGTGCTGTTGATCGCCGCCGACGTAGGGCGAATGGCGCAAATAAGTTTTTAGCTACACGATCCCGTGTTCTGTAAACAGTTTTAATTTTCTATACAAGCAATGACGGTTGTGTCAATGTGAAGGAAGCAGTTTCAGCGGAAACAACTGCCGTGTGCTGCACGCTACAGTGGCGCCAACTTTCACGTTCTGGTGCTAAGAATTAGCAGCTGTAGGAAAAAGTGAATTTCCCAAATCAATACGTACGGTGCTTAGACAGCAGTAGGAAAATTGTCCGCAGAAATTTACCTTAAATTTTCCTCTCGTTTTTCATTTTAATTACGAGAACTCTGGCTTCATCAAATGCACATGCAGAAAGTTTGCGATGCGGGCGACTTCTTAACTTCCAAGTCTAGCTACTGAAATGAATGGTGGCACATATATACGATAATGCGTGCACACTTACCGCTCGTATATTCGAATCAGGTAACTCACTCCACGGGACTTGTATTCAGATTCTCCCCACATCCTGCATTAATAAAGTACGAAACATCCCTTTATCTCTGTCCCCCGAAACAAGAATTGTCACTGTTTCAATAGAACGTGCGCATTGTCCCAAATGCTGAGAATTTCCCTTGTTTAGAATGCTAGGAGCGCGTACTACATACTTACTAGTTGTGACATAATAATTTCACACAACATTTCGTCAACAAGTCTTTTTTCTCGTATGAAAAGCTCTGTCTGTTTCCTGCGAAAATGTCCCATGGATGCTAGGCGCAGTCACGGCTTAGGTGTTATGACCTTTGAGGGAGTAATATGATGACCCCTCTTAAGTAGGCATAAGCCACATTAAGCCTCGTATGTGGCTTGAATTCATCGAAAGAAACACTTCCATCCGTCGATGTGCAAAATATTGTTTACGCTAATAACTCGTTTTTTTCTCTGCATCATTAATTTTTCCTCTAATAAAACCACCACTTTATATTGAAATTATTTCACAAAACATGCCGATACCAGTGACTATTTTCTATAAAACATTGCATGCACTATATCACCGATTGTGAGGAACGCTTTTCAGGCACAGTACAAGATGACGTCGATATGTAACACTGTGAGTACGACCCCACAGGGCATGTATTTTTGTTCTCTCAGACGCATACTTAGGCTGAAAGAAATGATGTCAGAATGGATTCCGAGTCCCTGGCTGCGTATTGTAAACTGAAATTATAGCTTTATGATGGCACGGCGAAATTCACAGTATAATTATGATGGTCTTGAACTTCAACTCGTGGTCTGAAGTGCATCTTTTTGCTGCATAGTCGATTCTGCAGGAGTGGATGGCTATTGGCGTAAAACTAAAAAAAATAAACATGGACAAGAACGAAGAGAACACTGACAGGCGCACACCAGCGAGTGCAGTTTATATCAGAAAAAACACACATATGAAGTAAAGGCAAAGACATGCGGTTAAGATTACAAGTTGCCGGTTAAAATAATGTATTTCGAGTTTATGCAGGTCCACGGCCTCGCCACACATGCGACAACGAACTTATGAACGAAAAAAGCATTAACCATGTCTCGCCCGGTCTTATCAACGAGCCTCGATAGCTCTTCCGTTTCATTTAGTAAAGCACTGCATCTACGTTCTTTACAATGCAGGCAGAAAACATACGGAGGGAGCCCTTTCAGAAAATTTCTGTGGTCAGTTATTCGGTCACTTACAGCGCCCGGTTTGATCGATCTAACGCTTCTCACATAATTGCGAAATGCTATAGGCCATACCCTTTTCACACTAAACAAACTTGTCCCGGTGTTTGGCTTCACACTCATTTCAGTTTTTTTCTGTCCACCCTCCACTTTTCTTTTAACCACTATGCAAATGGGACTTAGCTTGTTCCTGGCAGAAAATGTTACGCCAATTTCTAAAGCTACTCTCCACTATTTTCGTGTGGTGAGAAAAAACGTGCACATAAAGAATAATAACGACCAGTCTATCCTTACCTTGAGCCTTCCTCATAACGTAACCCTTTCCTTCAGTCGCTAACTTCCACAATACTCGTTCACTGAAAACGACCAATGTTTCACAGGGATAACTGAACTATTCTAGTCGATTGACTTGATGGAAAAAGGTATTTTTTATTTGATGTTGGGAAAACTTACGCAAGACGGATACAAGTTAAGATGTGGCCATCCCATCCTCGACCAACTTAGATTGGAGGGACCTGAAGTCCAGAATTGGACTTCAGGTCCCAAAGATGCTTTTCGGGCGTCGGAAAGTAAATCCAGCAGGTATGTGCAATCGTGATCCTTAAGTCGAGGAACTAGATCCATCGGTCCCTAGGAACCTCGACAGTGAAGCTTGAACCACATTTCTTTTTGAAGACACTGAGAACTTTGTCCCTATAGTAATGGCGCTACCACTGTCCTCAACGAAGACAAGATATTCACCCACATACCGCATCCCCTTCAACACAAAGCCATCCTGACTTAATGCAAGGTGGCCGCCTAGCTTGCCCAGAATAAGTTTGATACGTGCGCAACCCATAACCTATGCACACGCCCAATCTCTGCTTGTAACCATCACCCTTTCAGGCAGCCGTAGTTGAGTCCAAATGCATGGCTAATATTTATGGAAAGGCCCCCACAGAAATGGCACACTCATCTTGGAACATTTGTTCATCATGTTGCATATAATAGAATAAGTCATCTACATCTACACTAAACACAGATGAGTGTGAGGAAGTTGTGGCCGATAGGAACAGAATCACTTCTCCAGAGTTCTTCACATGGAAGGGGTCCTCGATGTTTAGCGGAGAAAGATGCTTCTACAAAACACCGGACATTGAGTACTGCCAGGTGCTGCGTTTCGAAAGAATCACTCGAAAGGGGTCAGCTTTCTCGTGTGTTTTAACTGTGAAGAAGAGCTTCAAAACTTCCCTTCCTTACTCTTGACCCCAGAGCATGACTGTTTTAGCTCCTTCGAGCACCGTAATATAAAAACCTCTTTCTTGAAGTCGGTTGACTTGTTCATGACTCACCTTATGTTCTTGTTAACGACTTGGATCCCCTTTTCCGACAAGGTGCCTTCTTGCATCACACCTTTATCTGAGACCAAAAGCCTGATTCCTCTAGTGGCCGTTAAAGCAGCTAAACAATTCAGCTTATATTTCATGCCGGGCTTTCCTTTGAACTTGGTGCTGACCTCTGCTCCCTCAGTAATGCTGCTTGAGCTTTCGCATTCAGGAACACTGTTAGACACAGAGCGTGCCAAGGCCGAGACATCTGCAGAAGTTGGAGTTCGCTCAATGCAAGACTTGGGACCTAACTTAAGGTTCTTTAAATGTGCTTTTTGGAATGAGGACTCACCAAGCAAATTTTTCTTATTAAACTGATTTATCAGAGCGAAAAAGACGGGACATTTAGAAAGACACACATACACACAGCGATGTTCTACTTCTGTGTCGAGCACGTAGTCCTGCCTTTCACATTCGCATGAAGCAGCTTCCCGCAGAATTTCGGCATTACAGCGCTGTGTGTGTGTGTCTTTCTAAATGTCCCGTCTTTTTTGCGTTCATAAGTCAGGCTAAGGAATCGTGAATTAACTCACTCAAGCGACAGTCTTAGCGAAAACTATTTTCCCAAGTGGTGCTTCAACCCTCTCCTTTAGGGAAGCGTAGGCCAGATAGATTTTCAGAGAAACTCAGTGATGCGGAATCTAGTCTCAAACCGTCCTCAGCACAGGCATGTCCTCCGGGATCCAGCTTTGTCACCGCAGAGTTCTGGAAGCCTATTTTTCTATAGTCTTGCTTCTCTCCGCTATTTCGCGTTCGAAGCCCTGCAGAAGCATTTCGTGTGGCTTGATCACGGTAACATCCAAGCGCACAATTACTGGACATTTTCTTAGGAATGCCAAGGAATGTTCCGTGCTAGGACCGTTTTTGGCATATGAAGGCTGAAACCTGCCCTGATATGTCCAGTTTTTGAGCGGTTAGATCTAACCGCCAACTTTTAATCATGACCACGTGTTTTTTCATTAGCTTCGTATGTGGGATTTTCTGAAAATAGACTTCAGTTCTTAGTCCGCGCCTGTCTGTTCTCTCTTTCTTGTTGGCCGAGTTTTTTTTATCGTAAAATGCCATCGACAATGAATAACCAACTCGCCCAAAGTTCGGTTCGTCTGTTCTGCAAGAGCAACTGCCCCAAAATTGCTCGTTATGGGTCGAGTAATACGTCAAGGTCACCAATAGTTTCCAAGTGTTTCATGACGATGCTTCTGCCGGGCATACTTTGATAGTTATGTTGTGGAAAAAGTTGGCAGATCACACAAAGAGTGGGGATAAATGATATGCGAAGCACGAGGAAAAAATGTTGATATGTCAGTTTATAATCCAGTTATTCGAATTCACGAGTGACCTTCACTTTAATATGAACGCTAACGAACAAACTGATTGCCTCTTCCTTGATTTCGCCAAGGCATTCGATACTGTCCCTTATTGTCGTTTAATGTCTAAATTGGCCACACTCCGTATTGATTCATTAATCCTGTCTTGGCTACGAAGCATCCTCTCAACGCGTCAGCAACTTACGGTGATCAACGACGTTTCATCTAACTTTTGCGACATCACATCCGGTGTTCCCCAAGGCAGTGTAATAGGTCCATTACTTTTTCTAATATACACTAATGATTTGCCCGATAACCTTTAATCCACAGTTAGGTTGTTCGCTGACGATTGCGCCATATACCGCAACATTAAATGTTTTAATGATCATTCCGCTCTCCAAAATGACCTTGACCTAACCTTCTGGTTGTGCGAAACTTGGCAGATGTCCCTTAACGCCTCTAAATGCAAGTTAATCTCGTTCACTCGAAAGCATAACAATTCAGCATTTCACTATAAGATTAATAACGCCGTTGTGTCAGCTACACCATCTTACAAATATTTAGGCGTTCATCTTACTTACATCGGATCTATCCTGGACTACGCATATAGCAGCTGTCTCATCGAAAGCATCTCAATCTCTCGGATATCTCCGCAGAAACTTGCGCAACGCTCCTTCTAACGTACACGCATTATCATATATTACTTACGTTCGCCCACAGCTAGACTATGCATCATCCACATGGTCACCATATTGTTGCGGGTTCGCGGCTATGCAGCTATGCGGGCGGTGCGAAGAAGAAGACGACGACGTTTTTGGGCTGTTCGAAATACACAACGGCTGCCATCTTGACTGCTGGAGTACTTTTCTACTCTAAAGTAGTAAATACATTCGCAACATTTTGGTGGTGGCGCTGGGTACGACGCAAGACGGAACTTCGAAGCGGACGTGTTCTCGACTGCCCGACCATGGCAACAGAAACCAATTCTGCCGCTCCTGTTTCAGCCGCGACTCCGGCGCAGCCTGTACAGCCGGTCGTATTGACGCAACCGCGCGACCCTGGCAACTTCTGCGGCACCGACCATGTTGACGTTGACGACTGGATTCCGAAGTTCGAGCGGTTTGCAGCAGTGTACCGGTGGGACCCTACGATGATGCTCGCCAACGTTGGCTTCTATCTCTGCGGAACAGCTGGCGCGTGGTTCGAGGCTCATGAAGCGGACATAACCAGCTGGGATACTTGCAAACAGAAGCTTCGTGACCTGTTTGGTAAGGCCGTCGGACGCCAGCGGGCCGCTTCTAAAGAACTCTCTGGTCGGGCACAAACTACGACCGAATCATATGTCACCTACATCCTTGACGTTCTCGCCCTTTGCCATCGTGCCGACCCCAACATGTCCGAGGAAGACAAAGTAAGCCATTTACTTAAAGGCATTGCAGATGATGCTTTAACATACTGGTTTCCAAAGACTGTTCCACCATTGATGACATCATCAAAGAGTGCCGCCGATTCGAAGAGCTGAAGAGTCGCCGGGTCGCCAAGAATTTCTTGCGACTTCCGAACACGGCCGCTACGTCATCTTGCGAGGACCTTCAGCCGCCATGCAGTCAACCACATAACAACGAAAGTGTGGTTCGCATCGTTCGTAGAGAAATCGAGGCCGCGTCTCCGTCTTTTCTGACCCGCCCATCTGATGATCGACCAACGATCTCGTTGATCCAACAGGTCGTGAGAGAGGAGCTGGCAAACGTTGGGCTGCAGCCTGTGTGTTCGTTGACGGAACCTCGGGTCAGTACCATAGCGCCTTCTCCTGCACCAGAAAGATTCCGCCGCTATCGTGATCCTGCTCAGTGGAGGACACAGGACGACAAGCCTATATGTTTTCATTGTCATGGTGTAGGACACATCTCCCGCTACTGTCGTTTCCGCACGTATCCACCTCGGTCGTTTCCTGGCTATCGACGTGACGACAACCACCGGCCCCTGCAGTACAGCGCTCGTGACGATGGACCGTACAATGGCACTCCTGCGACACCAGTCCGCCGGTCCAGCCGTTCGCCGTCCCCGCATGACCGTCGCTCCAGGTCACCTCAGCACCGCCGCTATTCGTCGCCCCACCCTAGTGGACGCCCTTCTTCGGAAAACTGAGCAATGCAGCTCCCGGAGGTGACGCTGCATTGGACTCCCGACCTGAAAACCCTCTGCTGACCTTGACTACGGACAAGAACCTGCTTGATGTAGAAGTGGATGGCCTTCCTGTTACTGCCCTTATTGACACCGGCGCACATATTTCAATTCTGAGCTCTGACCTCCGTGCACAATTAAACAAGGTCCTTACGCCGCCAGAGTCCCTATTTGTACGTGTCGCTAGTGGAGCGACCCCGGCTGTGCTCGGAATGTGCACCGCGCGTGTGAGATTCGCCGACCGCCAGACGTCCGTTCTATTCCATGTTCTCGCTCACTGTCCACATGACGTCATCCTTGGACTCGATTTTTTGTCCGACCACTCCGCTGTAATTGACTGCTCAGCCGGCGTCGTGCAACTTGACTTGCCTGCGGCCACCGAAGAGTCGAAGATGGTACAGAACAAGCTTTCGTGCGCTGAGTTTGTTCGCCTCCCACCCCAAGCCCTAACTTGTGTCACAGTTGAACCATATCCCAGTGTTCCGGATGGGGATTACGTGGTCTTTCCCTCTCCCGGTGTTTTATTGGCCCGCAACGTTTCCTCCCCGTACACCATATTAACTGTCACAGCGAACAAGACGTGCCTTCCTCTTCTGAACTTCGGACTCAGCCCTCAAATCCTACCACAAGGCATTGTTCTCGCCACTCTTTCACCGTCACACGAGTGCCAGATCTCATCAGTGTCACGTGAACTGGCCACAGTCGCCTCGCCGAACCCGCATAGCACCGACGCAGCCAAATCTACACGGCTCAACAATGTAACTAAGATGATTGCCTCAGACCTCTTGCCGTCTCAGGTCAAAGACCTCACTGATCTTCTCACGAGCTATTCGGACATATTTGACTTTGACGGTAGGCCCATAAGTCAAACATCGCAAGTCAAACATCGCATTAATACCGGTGATGCAGCTCCAATTCACAGGCGTCCCTATCGAGTGTCACCATCAGAACGCCAAGTTATCCAACAGGAGGTGAATAAGATGCTCACAAAAGGCATCATAGAGCCCTCATCGAGTCCGTGGGCGTCCCCTGTAGTCTTAGTTAAAAAGAAGGACAATACCTGGCGTTTCTGCGTGGACTATCGGCATTTAAACAAGGTCACCAAAAGGGATGTCTACCCGCTTCCTCGTATTGATGATGCCCTGGACTGCCTTCATGGCGCAACCTATTTTTCTTCGATAGACTTACGCTCCGGTTACTGGCAGATCGCCGTGGACGACCTCGACCGGGAGAAGACCGCCTTTGTAACGCCTGACGGTCTCTACCAATTCAAGGTAATGCCGTTTGGCTTGTGCAATGCGCCGGCAACGTTCGAGCGGATGATGGACACGCTTTTGCGCAGCTTTAAATGGTCTATCTGCCTGTGTTATCTGGACGACGTGATTGTGTTTGCCCCAACCTTTAAGTCTCACCTCGAGCGCCTTTCCTCAATTCTTTCAGTATTTCGAGAGGCTGGGCTCCAACTTAATTCCTCGAAATGCCATTTTGGGCATCGCCAAGTTACTATTCTAGGGCATCTCGTTGACTCC